TATTAACTGAAAGGGAATTGGAAGAGCTGAAACATTGAGCTGGTTTGTGCCTGAAAAACGGGAACTTTCTGCGCAACAAGGTTGCCTTAAATCCAGCATTGCTTTAGAAGGCGAAGACAGATTGCATCTTGGGATTGAAACAAATAGGTTAAATACTCTTTTTGGTCCCTCTATTATTAAAAAAAGCTCTTTTTTATCCTTATACAGAAAAAATCTCTTTTTTAATCCCTAAAAATTGAAATCCAACCCTTTTTTGATCTCTTCATTAAATTTTTTGACAAGTGACAATTAATTAATGGAATTGTGTGATGTGGAAAATTCACTTTGTAAGAAAAAAATGATGTGGACATATTTTGAGTCTTTCTCAGCATTTTCACCTTTCTGGCTTTTTTTTTTTTTTTTAACCTTTGTTGGGTTTGTCACGAACCCAGGCACGCGCTAGGTCCATGACGAACCTAGCACTAGTGCGCGCTTGAGTGGGTTCATCCTAGGTTCAGACTCTACTGGCTCATCTTTATCTCTTTCCCATCTCCAACGACAATATGTGTTTTGCTCCAATTATTCATAGTTCCATTGCCAGGAAGCTGCTGCTTTCTTCAAGACCCAACTCCTCAATGTTATCTTCCTCATAGGTCTTGACTGATCGAAGTAGACCCTTGTTTGACCTTGCTACCAATGATAGCAACAATGGGATTGGCAAGAATCGAAGGAGCTTCTTGTTGATGGCTGGGTACAACATGAGCTCAGGTGGGTACATACGTGGGATTGTGTTCTAGCAATCCAATAAGCCCCTTACCATTGAAGAATTTCATATGCCTCGCCCTAAAGCTGGAGAGCTTCTCATCAAAACCAAAGGTGCTTTCTTTTCCAATTCCTCTCTCGTTCTTTTTCATTCATTTTTTTCTACAATACAGCTATACCCAATTCATTAAATTGCATTTAATTTTTGGTTGTAAAAGTGAGGTCTCAAATTACATCTCGGTTGCAGGCTGTGGAGTGTGCCACTCTGACCTTCATGTTATAAAAGTTGAAATTCCATTTTCTAATCCATGTGTTATTGGGCACGAAATAACCC